AGCCCTTACGTACCAGGAGATATATGCTGGCACTTACCTGCTATATAGCCCTTAAGTGCCAGGAGATATATGCTGGCACTTACCTGCTATATAGCCCTTAAGTGCCAGGAGATATATGCTGGCACTTACCTGCTATATAGCCCTTAAGTGCCAGGAGATATATGCTGGCACTTACCTGCTATATAGCCCTTAAGTGCCAGGAGATATATGCTGGCACTTACCTGCTATATAGCCCTTAAGTGCCAGGAGATATATGCTGGCACTTACCTGCTATATAGCCCTTAAGTGCCAGGAGATATATGCTGGCACTTACCTGCTATATAGCCTTAAGTGCCAGGAGATATATGCTGGCACTTACCTGCTATATAGCCCTTAAGTGCCAGGAGATATATGCTGGCACTTACCTGCTATATAGCCCTTAAGTGCCAGGAGATATATGCTGGCACTTACCTGCTATATAGCCCTTAAGTGCCAGGAGATATATGCTGGCACTTACCTGCTATATAGCCCTTAAGTGCCAGGAGATATATGCTGGCACTTACCTGCTATATAGCCCTTAAGTGCCAGGAGATATATGCTGGCACTTACCTGCTATATAGCCCTTAAGTGCCAGGAGATATATGCTGGCACTTACCTGCTATATATCCCTTAAGTGCCAGGAGATATATGCTAGCACTTACCTGCTATATATCTCTTAAGTGCCAGGAGATATATGCTGGCACTTACCTGCTATATAGCCCTTAAGGGCCAGAATGACAGGGGAAAGCAGTATAAAGACTTGAGACATTTACCTCTCTATTACTATGGGGCTTGGGGTGGTCAGTGCCATTGGCGACGGCCACGGGCTTCTTGGCACTGGGCTTATTGCTGCCGCAACTTGAGCGGGAGAGGCGGCGTTCCGTCTTGGCTAGGAGGGTATTGGCGCTAGGCGGGTCGGCGTGGACCTTGCCGCCTCCGTCAGCAGCTGGGACGACTCCCGAGGGCCGACGACACTCCTGAAGGCGCTGCCGGCGTCTCTTGGCCATCCACATCCCCCGGATGATGGCCGGCATCAGCACCGCCAGCAGCAGACAAGGCACCAGCTTCACCAGCACGCTGTACACCAGCAGGTTGATCTGCAACACACACACACACACACACGTCAGTGGGGCGATGCGATTCACTCCACTCAAGGCTTACACATGTATACATCTATTGGGGGACGACGTACATCTATTGGAGATGATGTACGTCGTCTGGAGACGTCGTGAATCGCTCGTTGATAAGATATGTGTTTGCAAACCCGCAATTTACGTATAAATGGTATTTTAAAATGCCAATTGCTTAACAAATCCCACTTGCAGCCACTGTTAATCTCCAGCGGGACGCCCTCGGGGGGCGGGAAGAATATGATGCCTAACCTTCTTGAGCAGCTCGTTGTGGGCGAGGGCGAAGGAAGAGAACTCGACGCGGTAAACCTTGGAGCCGGCGTCGTCGGGGTACTCATTAACGGTGTACATGAGGAAGGTGGGCGTGGCGAGGGCGGGGCAGGCGAGGTAGACGGCCAGCAGCACCCTGCGGGCGTACACCATGGTGCAGAGGGTGGGCGCCGAGTGTGGGCGGCACACCGCCACCCACCGCCACACCGCCAGCGTCACCGTCAACCAGATGGCGATCTGAAACACACACACACACTTCAGCTGCTGCAAGCTTCTGCAACACAAACCACGCCATTGGTGCAACATGGTTAACTACCTCCTCGCTTCATGCAGGTCGGCGTTCAATCCCATGACCGTCCAAATGGTTGGACACCATTCCCTTCCCGCGTCCCATCCCAAATCCTTATCCTGACTCCCTTCCCTGTGCTATATAGTCTAACGGCTTGCCGCTTTCTCCTGATAGTTCCTTTCCCTACCCCCAGGTACCCACAGGTGCAACGTGGCCAGCCTAATTACCTAAGGGTATATCTCTCTAAGTCACCTGTCAGAGAATTCATCATGCTCTCACTTCATCTTTCTAAAGTCTCCATCATCAAGTGTGTCCATCATACAAATTGATTAGTTCATATCCTGGTACATGTTATTTATATACTTAACTTCTGTGAATACATCTGTTTATGAATACTTTTGTTGCTGTATAATTTGTCACATTTGATGATTTAGGACCAAAAAAAGGTTTTTCCCTTTTGACTTTAAAGCTACTTTATTTATCCGTGTATTTAATTAATACTGTATTTAATTATTTTTAATAATTTGTCATATAATATATCTATAAGGTTCATTGTATAATATAAAAGTTAAATATTATATATTCTTGTGAATAAGTCGTTCTAAAGAATTGTTTGTGACAAAGTTGTTCTTGCAGAGAATCTTGGAGCTTGGAGCTATTATTTCTATTAATACATACACACAGTTGAGAATAGCTTGAGCTAATTACTGTGTGTGTATTTGTACCTAAATGAACTTATTTCAATTTCTTGGAGTTCACTGGGGATTTTTTTTAACATAGGTGGGGTACAAGGCGTTAATTGGGGCTTCTAGCCACGCTAATCACTCTTGTAGGTGCTTAAGGCACTAGACTTATGTGTCTGTTCTTCTGATGCCATTGTATCATATATCATATATTGTATCATATATATTGTATCATATATCATATATTGTATCATATATCATATTGTATCATATCATACACTCATGTCTTTAAAGTTAATTAAGGCTTATGTGTAACTACGTTTAGACTTAGTGTGGTCATATGTGCCTCATTACACGAATTTGTGGAACTAGCGTGTGCCTTAACAATTCACTCTAACAGCCCATTAGGGCGCTTTATGCAATATTTTTTTTAGAGAGAGGCTGTCGGAAAATCCGACACCATTTAATAATCATACAGATAATAACTGTATTACCAACAAGTTACCCATAGAAAACGTAACTTGTAGTGGAATTACCGTCTAAAGAAAACGGGATATCATCACCACATACTATTATAATTCACCAGCTATTCTGCTGGGAATTATTCTTAAATACATTAGTCTTTGGACTTTACCATCATAAAAACATCTTATATAAATTAACTTAATTATCAATATTAAAGTAGAGTAAATGTGACCCTTCTATCACTTTCTGAAATCTGGACAAAGTAGGCCAGGCGTCAGTGAGGAAGGAGGGCAGCCATTGTTGTGTCACCTCCGAGACGTGTGGAGCGAGTTCGGCTCCTATCATTCTGGACAATGTCGGCCAGTAACGTCAATAGAATGGAGTGTTAAACAGCCATTGTTATACGAGACCAGAGGCTCACACGGGAGCAAATTCGGCTCCTGTTAAATTTACTTGGACGTAGTGTTATGGAACCCAAAGGTGTACCATTGTCAACACGCTGTCTACAAATACAAGTTAAGTGTCTATCCGAAACCCGTTTATCATTCATTTATGGCCATTAATGTCAGGATATAGGGTTAGCCGGTTAGAACGCGAAATCGCCTCAAACTAAAGGTAATTAAGCCAGGTCTTTCATGTTCCATGTACTGTATACAGTTTTCTCTGAAATACTTGTCATATATAGGTTTCTGGCTTCACAGCTAGCGCACTTTTGACAGGTCAAGACGAGGATGCAAGATTATGTGCACCAGTTACTGGGTGATGGAAGCTACCTCAAAGAGGATAATTTGGTGTCTACACTCTAGTTATACCTGGTGGACTAACCTGCTGTACTATAAGAGAAGGAACCTCATCAATGTATGTAGCTATTACTGTAATTTGATTGGCTGCATATATATTAATTTAATAAACCCCCCCTAATGTGTAGAGGATCGATTTGTGAGATTATGAGATTATTGCAGAAATACAGTCCACTTATCATTATACAAATTGCTATCGAAGTATATAAATTAACGTAAATATAAATTCATATAAATTAAATAAATATAAATCTCACAGGTCGGTTCCCACATTAATTGGTCCTTCGAACCGGATGACGGATTATTTGATCCTTTGAACCCATATTTGGTCATCTTCGAACCGGATGACGGATTATTTGATCCTTTGAACCCACATTTGGTCATCTTAGTACCGGATGAACCAGTTAACCAGTGGATTCATTAAATATACTAGTGCAGTGTTATTTAAACAAAGCCAGTCAAGACAGAGGCGAAGCCTCGTGGGAGCTCAGGAGCCTCCCTCAGCCCAGTTCAGCCTTAGTCAGCGGTTTCATGCACACCCACAGAAATTTGGTGGCGTGTTATTTCGTGAAATGACAGCGCTAATATAGAATCCAGCCAAATTAGTGACTGTGTCTTCGCGAGATTGTTCACGGATTTCATGGTGTTACATTTCGCGAGAGATTATCTACGAATTTTGTGGACTTTATTTCGCGAGGTCACTAATAATATTTAATACTTCTAGATAATATTAGAAGTTTCATAGAGGCTAATTAAGAGGCTATTAACAATAATTGTGTATATTATTTCTCCAAAATAGAGAATCATTTAATATATATTGCACTAGTGATCACAGTATAATATTTACTAATTGCCAACCCACAACAGGGTAGGATATTAACCATTGACTAGTTGAACTATTATCGTTCATCCTAGTCCCATTATTACCATAGTCAGTTGTACTATATTGAACAACCTAACACCATTAATGAATGGTCCAGACCCTATTTTGGGTGTAATTTTTAACAACTCGAGTTGAGTTGTATATATAATAAATTACTTATGATCATTACACCTTTGAGTGATTAATTAGTGTCTCTACCATCCTAGGGTGATATAGAAGAGCTAACCTAAAGGTACTTCCAGTGACACTGGTTTATCACTCAAATCATTAGTGTGTATGATTGTACATATATATAATGTGTATTAATTTTAAGTGCTAACCTCTAGTAGAGGTAGGATTATTGCCTAGTGAGTGCGGAATTTACCCTAGGCTACCATCAGTGCTTGTTCAGTATTATGAGCGACCCAAGTACAAGCCCCACAAGGCTTCACCAACTAGCCAGGATGGATAATGCAGGGAGAATGAAAAGAACCCTTGCAGGTCTTAAAGGCCACTTAACAAGACAGATCAAGAAATGTGAAGATTTGTCACAACAATCAACAGTTGATTATGCTGACCTGGAAAGCTATTATCAAGCAGCTGCAGGTAAATTTGAGCAAATCAAATGCCAAATGGCTGTCCTTGTGGGGACAAACTACTACCATCAATTCATTGGTAGCCCTACTAAATATCAGGGTATAACCATGTTAAACTCTGCAGGAGGTAAATTACTCTCAGGCCCAGTATCAAGCCTGAGGAGACCTATGCCTGCAGATAAACAATACCAATAGAAATCTAAATTTGTCAGCTGATTATATTTCTCCAGTAGCATTATACTAAGGAGATTACAGCTGACTATACCAACAGAAGTTGATGTTAGTATCATCATTTGAAGCTGAAGATGAGTTCATGAGGCCTCAGTGGCAAATCAGTGAACAGTAGCCTAAAACAGCTACAAGTCACTGCGACCAATGTCACTGAACCCACTGCAGTCTCAGAACCATACTTTACTTTAATGATGAGCTATTCAATCTTCTGAATCAATTAACTAAATTAAACCCCAATAAATCTGATGACTGATTTGATACATTTATTATTTAATCAAGATGTATTCCATGGGCTTCAGTGTTTATATATCAGTGACCAGTTACCTGAAGAAACTTCAAGTTATATCTATGTCACTGATCTCACTGCAGTCCCTGAATCATACTTGACTGTAGTACTTGATCACATCCAGTCTTCTGGGTTAAATAATATGTAATAAGGCTTGAATATTAGCCTTTCAAGAGTTGACAGGGAAATGAAATCGCATTAGACTTCTAATCCTTGCAACTCTAGTACGGGACATCCGTCCTGTACGAACAGACGCACAAATGTGTGATTACTAACAACTAACATCAAATTAATCTAATAATCCGAAGGAGGAGTATCGGTGTTCGTCTGTTCTAAATAGGACTTCGACCCGTGAGCAGCCCCCTGGGGAATTATGTCGGAAAATCCGACACCATTTAATAATCATACAGATAATAACTGTATTACCAACAAGTTACCCATAGAAAACGTAACTTGTAGTGGAATTACCGTCTAAAGAAAACGGGATATCATCACCACATACTATTATAATTCACCAGCTATTCTGCTGGGAATTATTCTTAAATACATTAGTCTTTGGACTTTACCATCATAAAACATCTTATATAAATTAACTTAATTATAAATATTAAAGTAGAGTAAATGTGACCCTTCTATCACTTTCTGAAATCTGGACAAAGTAGGCCAGGCGTCAGTGAGGAAGGAGGGCAGGCATTGTTGTGTCACCTCCGAGACGTGTGGAGCGAGTACGGCTCCTATCATTCTGGACAATGTCGGCCAGTAACGTCAATAGAATGGAGTGTTAAACAGCCATTGTTGTTATATGAGACCAGAGGCTCACACGGGAGCAAATTCGGCTCCTGTTAAATTTACTTGGACGTAGTGTTATGGAACCCAAAGGTGTACCATTGTCAACACGCTGTCTACAAATACAAGTTAAGTGTCTATCCGAAACCCGTTTATCATTCATTTATGGCCATTAATGTCAGGATATAGGGTTAGCCGGTTAGAACGCGAAATCGCCTCATACTAAAGGTAATTAAGCCAGGTCTTTCATGTTCCATGTACTGTATACAGTTTTCTCTGAAATACTTGTCATATATAGGTTTCTGGCTTCACAGCTAGCGCACTTTTGACAGGTCAAGACGAGGATGCAAGATTATGTGCACCAGTTACTGGGTGATGGAAGCTACCTCAAAGAGGATAATTTGGTGTCTACACTCTAGTTATACCTGGTGGACTAACCTGCTGTACTATAAGAGAAGAACCTCATCAATGTATGTAGCTATTACTGTAATTTGATTGGCTGCATATATATTAATTTAACCCCCCTAATGTGTAGAGGATCGATTTGTGAGATTATGAGATTATTGCAGAAATACAGTCCACTTATCATTATACAAATTGCTATCGAAGTATATAAATTAACGTAAATATAAATTCATATAAATTAAATAAATATAAATCTCACAGGTCGGTTCCCACAGAGGCTGTAGCAAGAGGCATTGAACGTGCGGGCTGACAGCGCCACCCGCTGTTATTCCCTACATTTCCCTGAAGGTATATTGAACCTGGTAATGTTTTGGGAGCCCCTAACGAGCTCGTTACCTGGTTACGAACCGTATGGCAGACGTGGGAGAGGTGGGCGTGGATGAGGACATAGAGGGCGTGTTCCTTGGCCTGCATGAGCTGGTCGCCGCCCACCAGGGTGGAGGTGGCGTAGGGAATGTACTCGACCTCGACCAGCAGGTCGGCCACCGCCAGCCCCAGCAGGAGGAGGTTGGTCGGGGTGGTCATGGTGCGGCGGGTCAGCGTGCTCACCGTCAGCAGGTTGGTGAGGACGCCGGTCACCGCGATGCACACCGCCAGGCGGAAGTGCACCCACTTGTACCGCTCGCGGAAGTCTGTCATGGGCAGAGCAGCGTCAGTGTTATTGTGGGGGGGGGGGACCCATACACACACACACACACTCTCACACACTCACACACACACACACACACACACACACACACACACACACACACACACACACACACACACACACACACACACACACACACACACAGGGGCCTCGTAGCCTGGTGGATAGCGCGCAGGACTCGTAATTCTGTGGCGCGGGTTCGATTCCCGCACGAGGCAGAAACAAATGGGCAAAGTTTCTTTCACCGTAAGTGCCCCTGTTACCTAGCAGTAAATAGGTACCTGGGAGTTAGTCAGCTGTCACGGGCTGCTTCCTGGGGTGTGTGTGTGTGGTGTGGAGAAAAAAAAAAAGAGTAGTTAGTAAACAGTTGATTGACAGTTGAGAGGCGGGCCGAAAGAGCAAAGCTCAACCCCCGCAAAAACACAACCAGTAAACACACACACACACACATGCGGAGTATGCAGCCCCAGCATGGAGCCCGTACCTTGTCAAGCACAAGACGAAGCTGGAAAAAGTCCAAAGGTATGCCACTAGACTAGTCCCAGAACTAAGAGGCATGAGTTACGAGGAAAGGCTGCGGGAAATGCACCTTACGACACTGGAAGACAGAAGAGTAAGGGGAGACATGATCACAACCTACAAAATCCTCAGAGGAATCGACCGGGTAAACAAGGATAAACTATTCAACACTGGTGGGACGCGAACAAGGGGACACAGGTGGAAACTGAGTACCCACATGAGCCACAGAGACGTTAGAAGGAACTTTTTCAGTGTCAGAGTAGTTAACGGATGGAATGCATTAGGCAGTGATGTGGTGGAGGCTGACTCCATACACAGTTTCAAATGTAGATATTTCCTAACGTAGAACGATATTTTCGTAATGTAGAAAATTCCTAACAGATATAGCATGGGAAACAGAGCTCAGGGGAAAGACGGCCCAAGATATGATGGATTACATCACGCAGAAGTGCAAGGACGCAGCAAACAAGTTTGTCCCAGTCCAAAAGGAAAACAGAGAAATGAAGATGAGAAACCCATGGTTTAATCAGAGATGTAGGCTAGCTAAGCAGCAAAGTTAAAGGGCATGGAGAAACTATAGGAATAACAGGACACTGGAGAGCAGAGAAAGATACCAGAATGCCAGGAATGAATATGTCAGGATGAGAAGAGAGGCAGAAAGACAATACGAAAATGACATCGCAAGCAAGGCAAAGACTCAGCCTAAATTGTTGCATAGCCACATTAGGAGAAAAACAACAGTAAAGGAACAGGTTATGAGATTAAGGATAGGGAGCGGAAGGATTCACTACAAATGACAAGGAAGTGTGTGAGGAATTGAATAAGAAATTCCAGGAGATCTTCACCTTAGAGCAAGGAGAAATTCCAGAGGTAAGTGAGGGAATAGCTAACCAGGAACCACTGGAAGAGTTTGAGATTACCAGCGGGGAAGTAAGGAAGTGTTTACTAAAGTTGGACGTGACGAAGGCTATAGGCCCAGATGGAATCTCCCCTTGGGTTCTAAAGGAAGGAGCAAGAGAACTGTGCCTACCACTCTCCATAGTGTATAACAAATCACTGGCAACAGGGGAACTGCCAGATATTTGGAAAGCAGCTAAAGTAGTCCCAATATACAAGAAAGGGGCTAGACAGGAGGTACTGAACTACAGGCCAGTGTCCCTAACCTGCATACCATGCAAGCTGATGGAGAAGATTGTGCGAAAAAAACTAGTGGAGCATCTGGAGCGAAGGAACTTTGTAACACAGCATCAACATGGGTTCAGGGATGGCAGGTCCTGCCTCACAGGGTTACATGAATTCTACGACCAGGCAACAAAAATAAGGCAAGAAAGAGAAGGGTGGGCAGACTGCATATTTTTGGATTGTCAGAAAGCCTTTGATACAGTGCCACACAAGAGGCTAGTGCGAAAGTTGGAGATGCAGGCTGGAGTGAGAGGGAAGGTACTCCGGTGGATAGCGGAGTACCTAAGCAACAGGAGACAACGAGTCTGTGTGAGGGGTGAGGTCTCAGATTGGCGAGACGTCACAAGTGGAGTCCCGCAGGGGTCAGTCCTTGGACCTATACTGTTTCTGGTATATGTAAATGATCTCCCAGAGGGTATAGATTCGTTCCTCTCAATGTTTGCCGACGATGCAAAAATTATGAGGAGGATTGAAACAGAGGATGATAGTAGGAGGCTACAAGATGACCTGGATAGACTGAGTGAATGGTCCAACAAATGGCTGTTGAAGTTCAACCCGAGTAAATGCAAAGTAATGAAACTAGGCAGTGGAAACAGGAGGCCAGGCACAGGATACTGAATAGGAGATGAAGTACTTAATGAAACAGACAGAGAGAAAGATCTAGGAGTTGATATCACACCAAACCTGTCTCCTGAAGCCCACATAAAGAGAATAACGTCTGCGGCATATGCGAGGCTGGCTAACATCAGAACGGCGTTCAGGAACCTGTGTAAGGAATCATTCAGAATCTTGTACACCACATATGTAAGACCAATCCTGGAGTATGCGGCCCCAGCATGGAGCCCGTACCTTGTCAAGCACAAGACGAAGCTGGAAAAAGTCCAAAGGTATGCCACTAGACTAGTCCCGGAACTAAGAGGCATGAGTTAGGAGGAAAGGCTGCGGGAAATGCACCTTACGACACTGGAAGACAGAAGAGTAAGGGGGGACATGATCACAACCTACAAAATCCTCAGGGGAATCGACCGGGTAAACAAGGATGAACTATTCAACACTGGTGGGACGCGAACAAGGGGACACAGGTGGAAGCTGAGTACCCAAATGAGCCACAGAGACGTTAGAAAGAACTTTTTCAGTGTCAGAGTAGTTAGTAAATGGAATGCATTAGGAAGTGATGTGGTGGAGGCTGACTCCATACACAGTTTCAAATGTAGATATGATAGAGCCCAATAGGCTCAGGAATCTGTACACCAGTTGATTGACGGTTGAGAGGCGGGACCAAAGAGCCAGAGCTCAACCCCCGCAAGCACAAATAGGTGAGTACAAATAGGTGAGTACACACACACACAAGGAATATAACAAAGGTGTGAGTGTAAAATACTGACTGGAAGAATAAGGGGAACACTTTTAGAGGAGACAGCACTCTGAGAGGCGACGCGGGAGCAGTTGACTCACCGAGTGAGTAACCAGTGTGATACATGAGTAACAAGAGGGAAGGTGAGGAAAGCAAAGGCAGGAATGAAGACAAAGCGCTGAGCCACTGTGAGTAAATAGTAGATGAAAGGAATACAACGGCGGAATAGAGACGGCGGGAATGAACGCTGCCTGCCCTCTTTTGGATCATCGAACCCCGATATTGCCTGAAGCGAGGCCGACGGTGTACGGACAAGTCAAAGTGGCCTGAGGGCGAGGGAGTGGGGAAGCAACTGGAGCAACTGAAGAATGTGTAGTCATACGAAACCTCACAATTGACATTGAAAGCGGCAGCTGAAGTATTGATCAAACCCTTCGTAGCACTCTCTTTCATTCTTCACACCATAATAGTGAACTGCCAGACACACCGTAAGCGGCTAAAGTAGTCCATAGATGCATATGAAGAAGAGGGAAGCCACTGAGCCTCAGACTGATGCCGCTAACAAGCACACTGCGTGGACCGTTGATGACAATGATGATCCGTCTCCAAGCATATGGGTTCAACGACGGAAAAATCATACCTAATCAGTATTGATCATTTGTTCTATGGCCACATGACAGCCTCAACACCGGAGATCAACCCCGACCACCAATGAAACGTTCGTGTGCGACCTTGAAAACCAAGCTGATGTTAATGGAATGGTGCTATAGAAAGGGCGAGGAGGGATACCTCCCGGGGAGGAAACAGATGGCAACTGTAAGAGGGAAATAGCAGAGATTTGTTCTGGTATCTCTTCTATTCCAAATATATGTCATCCACTTTCCAGGGAAAATTAGATCATTCACGTCCGTATTTATCACTGATTCAAAGTTGATGAGAGTAGGGAAAGGAGGAAGGGAATTATCAAGGGAAAGCGCCAGGCCATTACGGCTATATACCACTGGGAAGAGGTCAGGATAAGGACTCGGAATGGGACCGGGGGGAGGGGGAAGGAATGGTGCCCAACCACTTGGACGGTCGGGGATTGAACGCCGACCAGCATGAAGCGAGACCGTCGCTCTACCATCCAGCCCAAGTGAGGATGAGAATAATTTGAACAGAAGACAACTGCGCGATATATGGAGACTCATAACCCACCTCAGAGACGACCACACGCATGGTTGGTAGAGTTCAACCCTGATAAATTCAAAGTAATGAACAAGAGAAACAGTACTCTAAGTATATATTACAGAGACAGCTTCTGGAATCAATGAAAAATAAAGATTTTGGATAATGTATTTCTCCAAACCTGACACAAGTCATATACATTAAGAAAATGACTTTATTACGTACGTAAAACTTGCAAATATTCGGATAGTCTTTAAAAGCCAATAAAATGAGGCCATCAGACCACCGTATACAACGTACATAAGACCAACCCTCGAATATGCATCTCCGACTGGTATCCCTCACCCAGAAAGTCAATTAATAAAGATCCGATATATTCAGAAATATTGCACCTTCTTCGGGGCTGTGTGGTCTCTGATATGACGACCAACTGAGAGACATCACCTCTCTTGTCGGAGGAGAGAAGGGACATGGGAGACAGGATAACGACGTAGAAGATACCAAGGGACAACACAATAGACATAGAAGGCATGTTATAATGATACAGTATTTAGAAAGTCATAGGTGGGCTGGCTCTCTCTCTCTCTCTCTCTCTCTCTCTCTCTCTCTCTCTCTCTCTCTCTCTCTCTCTCTCTCTCTCTCTCTCTCTCTCTCTCTCTCTCTCTCTCTCTCTCGTCACGTAGTTCAACCCATGAACAAACGCATATGGATATAGTGATTATTTCCAAGACTAATCATAGTGGCATTAAGCAGATAGTCTTCGTGAACAGGTCATTCATAAATACTTGGTCTGGAAAATTCGGGAAAATCAAATAGAGGGCGAATTGAACGCATAAAATAAATGGAACATTAATGCATGAATCCTTCAGGTGATAAGTTTCCATTACGGTAAGCTGTAACGATAGTCCTATGATCATCCCTTCATCCCCCCCCTCCACTGCCCCATCAACCCCCTCTCCCCACCCCCCTACCCAATCAACCCCAACCCCCCACCCCCCTGCCCCATCACCCCCCCCCCCCATCCCCCGCGAGCGCCATGTAAGCGGAGACAAAATGCACCTTGCCCCCGACTGAACAACACTTGAGAAAGCTGTTTATCTTAAGAATAAGAGCAAGGACCTGTTTGGCTTACTAATTAAAATGTGTTGTTGAGACTACACGTAATGGTAACTTTTATTCGTGTCGGCGTGTTGTGTACATGTGGCAGTATAGTTGCTTGAGTGATGGCAGCGCAGGACACAGTGCTCAAGATGCAACTGGCAGAGGAACGCCACAAATTATCCGTGAATTACACTACAAACTTGCAGGTTAAATGCTTAAAGACATCACTGTGTGTGTGTGTGGGAGAGAGAGAGAGAGAGAGAGAGAGAGAGAGAGAGAGAGAGAGAGAGAGAGAGAGAGAGAGAGAGAGAGAAGGAGGGGAACGTGGGAAAGAAGATAGTCAAGCGATAGATTGCCAGGAGAAGCGAAACTTAATATAGGTAGAGCCCGGCCTTCAGGCGTCTCACACAGACAAGGAAGATGGCGCGTATATACTCACTAAACTGGCAGTAATGCTGCGTGGCGTTGGCGAAGGTAACGTTGGTAAGGGTGACGCTGCCCACCGTCACGTTGCTCTCCATGAAGAAGAGGATCTTCATCACGTCCTCGAGCGTGAGGTTGGGGAACTGCGACAACACCTGCAGCTGGAGAGCGGCCGTGTCGTTGTCCATGGTGCCGGGGAGGCCTTGGAGCCCGGCCGCCGAGGCCCGTGTCTGGGGAGATTGGACACGGCGTCTTGTGAGGAGACACTCAGCACGATAGACAGGCTCAGCCTCACATAAGATATCCTGCTAAACATTTGACATCCTTATAAAATATTCTAAAACATTTGATATTCACACAAGATCTAAAATATTTGATATCCATACAAGATATCCTTAATCATTTGATACCCACACAAGATCTAAAATATTTGATATCCACACAAGATATCCTGAAACATTTGATATCCACACAAGACATCCTAAAACATTTGATATCCACATAAGATATCCTGCCAAACAAAATATCTAAATGCTCAACGTGTAGGTTAAGTTTAAGACAACTCTCACATGAGCTACACAGACTTCGTCATCGCCGTTCACCCACAGGTACCGGCTATATAGGACATAATGTACAAGGCTCCCATAACGTCCCTGCGGACCAGCCACACACGCAAAAAAAGGCTCGCACAAAAACAAAACAAAAAACAAGAAAAAAGGTAAAGGTCTCCAGTGCGTTGTTTCTATAGTGTCCAATCGGATTTTCTTTACGATGTAACGACGTTTGTGATTGGTATAGAGAGGTTGGCAACGTTCCCTCACCTTGTCCTCATATCCCAGCACATTATCCTCGTATCTCAGTTCCGTGTCTTCATATTCCAGCTCCTTGTCCTCATATCCTAGCTCATTGTTTTCATATCCTAGTTCCTTGTCCTCATATCCCAGCTCATTGGCTTTATATCATAGCACATTATCCTCGTATCCCAGCTCCTTGTCTTCACATCCCAACTCATTGCCTTCATATCCCAGCGTCTTGTCCTCATATCCAAGCACACTATCCTCGTATCCCAGTTCCTTGTCTTCATATCACTGCCAGTCGTGGTATGGTTGTATGCCACAAGGCTCGTTTTGTTCGTTAAATTCGTTCAAATATATATATATATATATATATATATATATATATATATATATATATATATATATATATATATATATATATATATATATATATATATATATATATATATTCATAAATTTCATAAATTTATACATCATAAATATCATAAATATAAAGGTGAAACGCCATGCAATCTCTGAAGAGTCAACCAACACAACACCTGTACCCCCTATTAGACTATTTTACAGGAACTTCTTTTCGACGGCTCATAAAACAGAGGAAAGGGTCCTGAAAAATATTGTTGATAGGAACGTTATCCCTACAGACAAAAATCAGAAAAGACAATTGACAATTTATTAAAAAAAACAAAAAAAACGGCCAACCTACTCATGAAAAACTCTCCAGACACCAAGCAGAACGCCTTAAAGGAGACCAACGTCGTCTATGCCTTCAAATGCCCACTTGGGGACTGTAAGCTCCAAGGAACTCAGTATATAGGCAGGACAACAACGCCTCTTTTCAGGCGATTAACAATGCATAAGCAACAGGGCTCCATCAAGGAACATATAATCTCTTCTCACAACCAAACCATCACCAGAGAAATCTTAACAAACAACACAGAAATCATCGATAGGTACAGCGATAGCAGGCGGCTTGACATCAGCGAGGCACTACACATCAAAAAGTCAACACCAGCAATCAACAGCCAATTAATGCACAACAACATTCTACCCACTTCAAGACCCCCGAACCAATATGGAAGTAGCCAGAGGAAGTATGGGCCAATAGGCCTTCTGCAGTTACTCCCATTCATATTTTCACTTATCCAATTTATACCCATTGTTTCGTGTTTCTGTCTTGTGTTCGTCACCTCACCCAAAACTTTTGTACCATGTCACCTCATCCAGTAGAGTATAAGTACGTAGAAGATACCCACTTGGGGACTTCCATTTGAAATGGAAGTCCCCAAGTGGGAATTCCCCAAATGGAATTCTTCGTATTCAAATGAATACGAAGAATTGGTGTGTAAATTAAGTCTTTGAAAATGTAACACGAATTACGAAACGAGTTCAGGCGTCAGACAATTGAAAAATTAATTTTGGAGAATTGTTATTTTTATTACCACCGACAGTGAAGAAAAACATAAGAAATATTGAGAAAATTCGGGTTAGAATTATTAATCTTACCTTTTCGGTCATATTCAACAACATATATATATATATATATATATATATATATATATATATATATATATATATATATATATATATATATATATATATATATATATACATATATATATATATATATATATATATATATATATATATATATATATATATATACATATATATATATATATATATATATATATATATATATATATATATATATATATATATATATATATATATATTTGGGGTACGACTTGTATAATATAGTCATAAATTTTGCGTTTGATCTTCGTAGGTACTTTAGCTCCCGGCCCCGTCTGTCAGTATCTCTACAGATAACCCCCCCCCCACACACACCACACACGTCATGGGTCGGGGAAGGTAACATTAATTATTTTTAATGATTCCCGAAATATTTTCGGTGAGCTTACTGGGATTTTTACAGGAGTTGTTATGATGCTTGAGTCCGTGTGAGACTTATTGGAGCCTGACTCACTATCTTCCTGAACCTTGACTCACTATCTTTCTGAACCCTGACTCACTATCTTTCTGAACCTTGACTTACTATCTTTCTCAACCCTGACTCACTATCTTTCTGAACCTTGACTCACTATCTTTCTGCACCCTGACTCACTATCTTCCTGAACCCTGACTCACTATCTTTCTGAACCTTGACTCACTATCTTCCTGAACCCTGACTCACTATCTTCCTGAACCCTGACTCACTATCTTTCTGCACCCTGACTCACTATCTTCCTGAACCCTGACTCACTATCTTCCTGAACCCTGACTCACTATCTTCCTGAACCCTGACTCACTATCTTTCTCAACCCTGACTCACTATCTTTCTGCACCCTGACTCACTATCTTCCTGAACCCTGACTCACTATCTTTCTGCACCCTGACTCACTATCTTCCTGAACCCTGCCTCACTATCTTTCTGAACCTTGACTCACTATCTTTCTGCACCCTGACTCACTATCTTTCTGTACCATGACTCACTATCTTCCTGAACCATGACTCACTATCTTTCTGAACCTTGACTCACTATCTTTCTCAACCCTGACTCACTATCTTTCTGCACCCTGACTCACTATCTTTCTCAACCCTGACTCACTATCTTTCTCAACCTTGACTCACTATCTTTCTCAACCCTGACTCACTATCTTTCTCAACCCTGACTCACTATCTTCCTGAACCCTGACTCACTATCTTCCTGAACCCTGACTCACTATCTTCCTGAACCCTGACTCATTATCTTCCTGAACCCTGACTCACTATCTTTCTGCACCCTGAATCACTATCTTTCTGAACCTTGACTCACTATCTTTCTGCACCCTGACTCACTATCTTTCTGAACCTTGACTCACTATCTTCCTGAACCATGACTCACTATCTTTCTGAACCTTGACTCACTATCTTTCTGCACCCTGACTCACTATCTTTCTGAACCTTGACTCAATATCTTTCTGCACCCTGACTCATTATCTTTCTGCACCCTGACTCACTATCTTTCTGAACCCTGACTCACTATCTTTCTGAACCTTGACTTACTATCTTTCTCAACCCTGACTCACTATCTTTCTGAACCTTGACTCACTATCTTTCTGCACCCTGACTCACTATCTTTCTGCACCATGACTCACTATCTTCCTGAACCCTGACTCACTATCTTTCTGAACCTTGACTCACTATCTTTCTCAACCCTGACTCACTATCTTTCTGCACCCTGACTCACTATCTTTCTGAACCCTGACTCACTATCTTTCTGAACCTTGACTCACTATCTTTATCAACCCTGACTCACTATCTTTCAACCCTGACTCACTATCTTCCTCAACCCTGGCTCACTATCTTCCTGAACCCTGACTCACTATCTTCCTGAACCCTGACTCACTATCTTTCTGCACCCTGACTCACTATCTTCCTGAACCCTGACTCACTATCTTTCTGCACCCAGACTCACTATCTTTCTCAACCCTGACTCACTATCTTTCTCAACCCTGACTCACTATCTTCCTGAACCCTGATTCACTATCTTCCTGAACCCTGACTCACTATCTTCCTGAACCCTGACTCACTATCTTTCTCAACCCTGACTCACTATCTTTCTCAACCCAGACTCACTATCTTCCTGAACCCTAACTCACTATCTTCCTGATCCCTGACTCACTATCATCCTGAACCCTGACTCACTATCTTTCTCAACCCTGACTCACTATCTTCCTGAACCCTGACTCACTATCTTTCTCAACCCTGACTCACTATCTTCCTGCACCCTGACTCACTATCTTTCTCAACCCTGACTCACTATCTTCCTGCACCCTGACTCACTATCTTCCTGCACCCTGACTCACTATCTTCCTGAACCCTGACTCACTATCTTCCTGAACCCTGACTCACTATCTTCCTGAACCCTGACTCACTATCTTCCTGAACCCTGACTCACTATCTTTCTGAACCCTGACTTACTATCTTTCTGCACCCTGACTCACTATCTTCCTGAACCCTGACTCACTATCTTTCTCATCCCTGACTCACTATCTTTCTGCACCCTGACTCACTATCTTCCTGAACCCTGACTCACTATCTTTCTGCACCCTGACTCACTATCTTCCTGAACCCTGACTCACTATCTTCCTGAACCCTGACTCACTATCTTTCTCAACCCTGACTCACTATCTTTCTGAACCTTGACTCACTATCTTCCTGAACCCTGACTCACTATCTTCCTGAACCCTGACTCACTATCTTTCTGCACCCTGACTCACTATCTTCCTGAACCCTGACTCACTATCTTCCTGAACCCTGACTCACTATCTTCCTGAACTATCTTCCTGAACCCTGACTCACTATCTTTCTCAACCCTGACTCACTATCTTTCTCATCCCTGACTCACTATCTTTCTGCACCCTGACTCACTATCTTCCTGAACCCTGACTC